ACATATATATATATATATATATATATATATATATATATATATATATATATATATATATGCATATATATGTACACATATATAAACATACATACATATGTATTATGTATGTATATAAATGAATCAATGAATGAATGAATAAATAAATATGTTTGTGCGTGTGCATGTATATATGTGTGTGCTTATGTATACATAATATATACCATATATATGCACACACACATGTGCGTCTATATACACACATATATACACATACATGCATACATTCATACATACATACACAAATTCTTTCTGTAAAGAAATAAATATGTACTGGATTTATAAACCTTCAAATGGAAACCTTTGAAAATTTTAAGTATACTTTTCATAAACATCCTGAGCCCATAGAAATTTATATACTATTTACCCAATAATATTTCGACAGGTAAAATGCAAAAACAAATAAATGAGACAGATATTAGCACACATGCTTTCAACAACATTTAACACTGGAAAATACTACCACATTTACGTCGATTTATACATGTGTAAAATTAAGACTATATGATTAGCAGTAAATGAACATGTAGTAGAACACAGTCAACGAGCATTGAATTAACATAAATGTACATCATTTTGTTACTAAGATACGCAAACACGCACAAATAAACAAAAACAAATAAACAAACATATCTCTGTGTATAGTTTATGGCATGGGGCTAACACTCCTTTCTGTGAAGAATATGTATGCATAGATGAATGTATAAATAAATGATTACCAGCTATTTTCACCCGTTAACCCAACCGCATTGGATTCATATTCTGCCCCCTGTATTTTGTTTTTCTTTTTTTTTTTTTTGTTAATGTAGTTATATACAGAAGTCTCCACACGTGCTCAGCCAGCAAGGAGTCTATCAGTAGCCCTAGTGACCGATCCTGATTTTCCTTTTCCTTGAATTAGCGGGAAAATGTGTTTTTCTCCTTAAAACAGTTGGCATCGATACTGTTATTATTGTTATTGATGTTATGATTATTAAATTGTTATTAAAATACTCAAAATACTCTTCCCAAAAGTCGAGGAAAAGGTTAAACAGGAGAGATATGTAAGACTAATAACCGACTCCTTGGTGACTAAGCACTTGTAGAGCCATCTATGCGTAAGTACAATAGATAAACCTGTATTACATTGGACCTGGCATGTATTCTTGCCATACGTGATAATTGGGTTAAGTTTCACCTTAATCTACTGCATTATAGTTCTTATAGTTCTCTAAATATCTAATTGAAAACAGCAAAAGACAGTAATTCGTTAACGCTTCTCGACTTTGGAAAAACATCTATCCATGACCGATTTACATATCTGTCTATCTACATTATATCTACCCCATACTCAAGGTTCGATAATGAGCACTAAATGAACCACACCTGGTGACACTTAATTGGCAACTGCTATATGATTTATTGATACATACACCATACTCAATATTCAATAGTCATTATCGCTCTGTGCCCATAGGAACCATTTTCAAGGGTAAATTTGGTCACGGCAAAATTACTAGTCACAGTTCGTCATTTCGAGGGAAAATTTCACTCGAAAACACACGCCGTTATCATTTTATCTAATTATATTTTCATGTTTTTTCTCCCATTGTTGTATAGCGTTTATCTGATTACAAAATGCGACATGTATCACTGCTAAATAACTAGGTTATCGCAACTACTAGTCTATTTCCATTAGTAATTTATACTATGAGTGATTCTTCTTCTTATTATTATTATTTTTATTCGAAATCATGTACACATACATACATCTTTGCTTGTCAAAAATTATTAACATTCTTTTCTAAAGTTGTTATCGGCGACATTAATGTACATACCAAGTCCTCACATACGTAAAGGAAACTAGAGAAAAAACAATTACAATATATTTAAAAACGTGTCAAGTATTTACGAAAGAACGCAACACAAGCTCAAAGTTGCCCCCACCATGCGCGCTTCGGCCGAGAGCGACAAGTGAGCGGACTCTCCCTCACCACAGTCAAACACACACTGACAGGTTCCTTTAACTCGCCCAGTCAAGCTCGCCCGTACCGCTACATGCCTCCAGGTGCAACGGGGGAGTTTTCAAAATATCACTTGTACCATGACTATACAGCTTAGGTGTCCATAGTGCTGAGTTTCACCCGACATGACTTTAATAATATTGCGATGCAGTTCGCGTGTTGCAGCCTTTGTGTTTTTCTTTTCTTTTTTTTTCTCTCTCTCTCTCGAAAGGCTTTCTAGGACACTTCCTTGTCATGCAGTTGCTACTTCCTTGTTTCGGCTGATACACTAGCTGCAGAGTGCACGGAATCAAGACTGCTTCATAAGTCAACATTAATTGACTAGGTTATTCTTACGCCATATATATATAGCATAACGGAAGCTCACAGTAGTAAAAAAGTTAAACGAAAAATTTCTAATAATATTTTATATGCATCATCATTTGTTTCTGAACACTAAAATTTATATTCTCCTAAATGTT